TTGTGAGAAATTTAGTGTTAAATATGTAGTTTTGTGATAATTTGGTCAAAGTTAAATTTACTCTACTATGTATATTCATATCCGATGCAATATCGATTATAGAGTATAATGAGTTAGAATATATATAGGAAATACGATATTCATCCGAACCCAACCTGATTTCACCCCCTACGTGCAAGAGATCTATTAGGACGAACCCTACAACTGTCGTACGTCCGTAGGATGCCGATCGGACGGCCCAAACTGTCGTACGTCCGTCCGTCCGACACAACCACTGTGTCCATCGATCGACCGTCGACGAGCCGGATTCTGATCAGCTTCTCATCAATTGGAGTACTATATTTTGATCAGCGTCGATGGATCGATCGATCGTCTTCCCTGTCCAATTAGTCCAATTATAAACTCTCCCAAACTCTGATACAATCCACCACTAATCGAGATCAAATTAATCGAGATCGAGATGAGCCGCCGATGGTGGAGGAGGAGGTCGTACGCCGCCGCCGCCGCCGACGACGACACCGCTGGGGAGGAGCTCCGGTCCTACGTCGTCGCCGTGGAGGTCGCCGCCGACAACCGCGCCGAGTCGCCGCCGGTTCCGGCTCGCGTCACAGCTGAATTGATCAAAGCCGACGCCGCCGGGATCCCAAATTACTCCAAGGGAGACAAGGATGATCCCTGCTGCGACACATACAGTCTAGTCATGAAGGTAATTCATTTGATTAACCTTATTATGTACTTATGCCCCTAGTCCTATGTTGTATAAAAATATATACTCCCTCTCGTTTTACTCTTTTCTTAGTTTAACTTTTTATGTTTGACAAAGATTATAGAAAAATACAGTAGTATTTTCAATACAAAACAAATGTTTTATAAGAATATATTCAATGTTAGATTTAATGAAATTAAACTGATATTTTAGATGTTGCTAATTTATTTTCTATAATTTGATCAAAATTAATCAACTTTGATTAGAAAAAAATCAAAACGATTTATAATATGAAATGGATGAAGTATTTTCTAAAATTTCTTGTAATATTGTTTTACTTAATTAGATACCTTGTTAGATAGTTATTTTATCAAAATGTTATTTAATTTATACCTATAATTATGAAGATAAACCGCTATGTAATTCACTCCATAATCTGTTTCTTCAAACGAACCTCGTTGGTCCCACAAAATCTTGCTAGTTAATCTTTTTTTAAATAAGTCTGCTTTTCGTCCTCAACAATACAACCAGACGTGCTGACATGGTATTTTTGTCTAAGTCAGCTACAAAGTAGCCTTATAAAGTTCCAGATCTGCAAGATGCTTTTCTTTAGTATCCTGAACATTATGCCCTCAACATTGATATATATAGCCATATCACAAAGATAGGTATTGAGGTGTTTTGTGTCGGTTTGTATAGATGGAGGTCGTTCTGTAGTTGGAAGATGAAAAGTAGATTGAGGCAGATAATTAAGGAACATAAGCTGGTAAACTTATTGTTATTCTAAAATATTACAAAAGCTTTGGACACCTGGTTGCTTGTTAATTGTTTATACCTTTCTAATCCTTAATTATACGCTTATATATGCTCTTGGTTTTTTGGGGCCTTTAATTTGCAGTGCCTTGAGAACACAAAAAATGATTTCAAGAAATGCAAGACTTTGATAGACAAGTACGAAGAGTGCAGCAATCCTCCCAAGGAACCAAGACTATGCCCTGCCCATGAGCTAGCATTTGAGAAGGTATAAGTTTGTAACTCGATACGATTTATCTTTGAACTTTGATCACTTATCTATTTTTTAAAAGAATATATATAAATACTTAAAAGTATATTAACGAAGTTTGTTGCGTTCTAAACATAACTATGAGACCTTAATTGTATACATTATTATGATATAAAAGTTCAAAATTTATTAATGGACAAAGTTAAAATTGTAGTGATCAACAGTGGCAGATATTTGCTTTCCTATCATCAAGGGTTGGGTGCGGGACACATCTTGTCGTGTGTTTTTCTTTCTCATAATGCTGATTTTACTGTGTTTAATTAATTGCAGTGCCTTCAGAAAAATGTGGGAGAGATCAAAGTTTGCCAGTTCTGGATGGACATGATGAGCAAATGCCTCCGTCGCAACAAACAATGGGTTTAAAATGTGTAGCTTCTGTTCATGGATAGTGTAGTACTGGTCTTTTTTGAGTTTTGAAGCTTCATTATATTGTGTTAATTTGTGTTAATTTTGGTCAGCCAAATACAGTAGGTGGATCAAATTCGTCGAAGTGGATTTTTTTAAATTCACTTGTGTTGCCGAATAGGTTAACGGGAATTAAGTGGCCAATTACATTGGTGGGCCAAATTCGATGGCGAGAGTAAAGCAGTGCAAGTTTTTTTTTCTCGAGTAAGAGTCTACTTGTTGTCCCTCAACTATGAATCGAGATTTGTCAGTGTCTCAACCGTAAAACTTGGGTGCTGTTCAAATTGATATCTCTTTCAACCATATCTTTTTTAGCATAGTTACCAAAAATATGTCTACATTTAATTTATTGCTAAACTTTGGTAAATACATAGGAAATCCTACCAAAATTTTAGCAATATTGTCAACTTCAAAATTTTGGCAGTGCTAAAATTTGATAAGGTTTATTTTGGCTACAATCTGATGTGTAGAGCATACCTTAACCTATAAAACCAAAACCAGTGCAAATCGAGTCGCTATGTAGTATTGAGAGCGGGTTCGGCTGACGTGACTTCTACATGGCTTGTCGACTTAACTAGTGTTCGTCCCAGGTGGCATATACGCGGCCGCTAGAAGCAAAGATATATAAAAATAAAACACGTGAGACAGAGAAATCAACTGATATAATCTAAATAAGGCATAGTAAATAGCTAGCAAAGCTAGATCGTAATTTTCACATCATCATCTACTTCTACAGAATCCCTAATACAAGTCGGAACAGCTAAAAGCTGACACCTTTAAGTGATTATAAGTGCTAGTTCTAGAGTAAAACCGACACCTATACTATAGGTGTCTTTTTTTTCTTTAAAAAAAGGAACCTATAATATACTATTATAGATGCCGGTTTTAAAACCGAGCCGGGAGCCGAGCACAAGTGGATAAGTCTCGCCCCGTCCCTCTTGCCCATTTCTCTCTCTCCGTCCCTCTTGCAAATCTGACGTCGGTGGGGGCTCCAGCAGCACATCCGACGGCGGCAGCCAAGAGTACTAAATCCGAAAGTAATATTTTCACACACACACATATATATATCTTCATGTAATCCAGAAAGACAATACACATAACATGTTATAATACTTCACCAATAAATATTGTGATAATTGTTTACCAATAAATCATTTAAAATTGATGTGACTCGATTTAACATTAAATAAATTATCATAATCTTCATCACCGCCATATTCTCAAGGGAACACCATAATATTTTTAACAGCTCGGTTGCTAGCTTTGATCCACTAAGCCATCAAGCTTACAATGTATATTTATTAGCTATAACAGAGCGATTAGTTGCAAAATTAGGTGAACACAACCTTTGGATGATAAGAGGTTTTTCTGGATTCAACACTCTTGATCAGTTGCAATATTAGTTGCTCTTTCGCATGATAAGAGGTTTTGTCGATCAATTGTTGACATATAACCAATTGTTTTCCGGGTACCGTGGCAATTTCGACTTGTGAAACAACTTGGATGTAGATTGAAGCGGCGACGATGTAACGAAGTCGAATTCATTAATGTGACTGTGATTGCAGCATGCCCAATAGATACCCAAAAATCTATCTCTAAAACTATGTATTTTGGAATTCCTAATTTGATTTTAAGATGTAAACGAACTTTTATCTCCAGTGGATATCTTAAATTAACTCTGGACCCACTCTTATCTACCAAAAGATATAGAAAAAAATAACTTCGCTCATCCCCTCCCACGTACGCAATCTCTCTACGTATAGCGTCTTCTTTTTCCGTGTAAAAATTGGGAGCGAGAATGTTTCCCGACTTGTGGAGAGCGAGAAAGGTCATTGTTGTTACTGTGATTGCTAACTTGCTAAGTAGTATGAAACACGTACGGCCGGATCTATCTACCTCTCTATTGAATATCTACCCTTGATTTTTAAAAGGGTATATAGTTTATAGGAATAGCAAATAACATAATTAAGCACGGTAAATTAATTTGATAATCACTCTTAATAACGAACAACTTCTCGATCTCCTCGCCGTTTTTGATGCTCATCACGCATTTGATTCCGATCAACTGCTATTCCCTAATTTTCATCACCGATAGTGCATGAGTACCATAGGGATGAAAACAGAGCGGATAGTTTCCGTCCGCTCCGGATAAAAACGGATACGGATATCTTTCGGATCGGATAATTCTCGGATAGTTCGGATACGAATATGGATATTTTCTCCCGGATACGAATACGGATATGGTATCGGGGTTTCCGTCGGATACGGATTATAATTCGGATATTCGGTGAATAGTGCTATTCGGATATCCGTAGAAGCCACGAGACATACCCAATTCTTTCTAACTCTATAACCTTCAATATATCTTTATAGATTCTAATAGTAGTTTATCTCTTAACACTAGTCCATACTATTAATATTATTTAAAATTTTAAAAAATATTTATAAATTATACTTTATTTTATATAAAATGAGCTAATTATATATGTTGATATTTATTTCTAATAGGAGTTGAGTTGGTTTTCGTGTTCCGAAAAAAAATTGGTTTCCATATTCGTGTCCGATCATATTCGATTCTTATTCGTTTTCGAGATAATCCGTATTCGTTTTCGTATCTGGTAAAAAAAATGAAAATGAAAATGGTATGAGCATTATCCGTCCGTATCCATTCCGTTTTCACCAAATCGATCCGGAAGTAATATTTTCACACACACATACATACATTTTCATGTAACACATATACATACTTATATTTTATATTTTGGGACGGAGGGACACCGCGAGGGAGTATGCAACATGATCGATACAGTTTTCACCGTGCTGTGTTAATGGGCTAATTTGTAGCGAGCGCCTCGAGGAGCGGAGCAAGGTCGTTCTTCGTTTGATGAGACGAACGGTGGATATGTGAGGTCCGGATACCATCCAATTTCCAGCTCTCTCTATAAACTCCCTTCTTTTTTTTTTTTTTGAAGGATCTACCTGTCCTATAAATTTCCTTGCCGAGAAAGAAACTAAAATCTCCCAATTTCGCCCTAGCGGATCGGAGGATCTCCGGCAAGCTAGCGAGGCCATGGCGCTGCCCGACGACGTGCTCGCGGCCGTTCTCCGGCGCCTCCCGCCGCGGGGCATCGCCGCGCCCCGCTGCGTCTGCAAGGAGTGGCGCAGCCTCGTCGACGGCCGCCGCCTGCTGCGCGCGGACCTCCTCCCGCTCTCGCTGGCCGGCATCCTCCTCAACTACGACAGCACCTGGTTCACGCAGTTCCTCTCCCGCCCCACCGCCGCCGCCGCCGTCTCCTGCCGCCTCGACTACACCGTGCCTCCGCCGCCTGCCTACATCTACGTCAAGGACCACTGCAACGGCCTCCTCCTCCTGCTCCGCGAGGAGTGCCGCCTGGTGGTGGTTAACCCCGCCACGCGGCAGTGGGAGCTCTTGCCCCCGCCCCATCACCATCATCATCCCCTACCTCCAGCCATGGGCTGTGGACTGTAACGAGAACGAGTACCTGGTGTTCGACCCCACCCGATCTCCCAATTATGAGTTGTTCATGGTGCCCAAGGTTCCTTACAAGCTGCGCGAGGAAGAAGAATGCGAATGGCCGCCGTCGACATTGATCCTGCCTGTGTTTTCATCCAAGACTGGTTCTTGGGAGGAGAGGGCATTTGATCGGGAAGGGGATGCTGCAGGGACGTTACCAGCCATGGTTGGGTCAACTCCATTTTGTGATCATCAGTGTGGCTACTGGCGAGGAGCACTTTACGTATGCTTCTCCGATTGCTTTGTCATGAGGTACCAACTCGAATCCACCCCTTAAGCATGCATGCATTGTATTAATTGTTATCCTGGTTTTGGTCTTGTGAGCTTTAATTTGTGATATATACACACACACACATTCAATAGTATTACACCTAAGGATAAAATCTTAACCTCAAATTCATTATATTTTAGCCGTAACAAAAAAAAATCTAACAGTTTTAAGATTGTAATTCTGTCAGAATTTGTCTTTTTTTATTACTCTCTATATAGAATGAATTTGAAGATATGACTTTGCACGTAAATGTAATACTATTGAAAGTATATGTATGAATTTTTCTAGAATTTTTGTGATAATTTTTAGTTGGTGTACACGGTGTGTATATATGAGGGCATGTGTGTATAGTATACGCTCCCATACATATAAGATCATGTTATTGTTGCAGAATATCACCATCGGACAATAAGTATCGAGTAATTAGAATGCCCACGGAAGATCCAGGAGATACACAATTTTATCTAGGAAAATCAAACAACGGGATATATTGTGCATCATTACCATCATTTCTGAGGCCCCAAATTTTGGTTTGGTTTCTTAACGAACGGTACTGTGGTCAAACCGAGTGGGTGTTGAAGCATGATATGGACATTTCCCACATCCTGCCGAATCTGAACTATGATGAGCAGCAGCGTGATGGACCTTGGGTCTTACAACATTATAATTATAGACCTTTTAATTTTAATTATGATGATGATGATGACGAAGACGATGTGGAGCTCGAGCCAATAGTGGAAGAGAAATTCGAGAAATTTGAGTGGGACTCTGACAATGATAATGTTCTTGAGCCTGGAAGTATGCGCGAGAATTGCTATATCTATTTCCTTGGATTTCATCCTTACAAAGATATCGTCTTCTTAGGTGATGAATTTGACAGAGTGCTAGCCTATAATTGGAGTAGCTCAAAGCTTCAGGATTTGGGCAAAGTTTTCACAGAATTTTATATTCGTCTTACTACATACAGATTGCATTGTTCCCTGAAAAATAAAATTCATATATCTCCACTTTAAATTTCCTTATTTTCCCTTCTGTTGCATGTTCGATTGATCTTGAGTTGCTGCATCGACCATGCATGGATGAAAGAGCTGGTTGCTTTTCTATCTCAGCTGCACTGATTTCAGACACTCTTGAACCTGGAGGGCTTGTGAGGAATTCATATTCTTTCTGTGAGAGTTGAGCTAGACAGCACAGGTTTGGCCTTGGTAGCTAAAGTCTATGTTTCAAGCTCATTGGCTTGTGATTATGTACTAAGCTAGAAATAATGGTCAGTATACATGTGAAGAGTGCATCGTTCTCCTGGTTTGACATGTATGTGGATTCGTTGATAGGAAATTATTGTGGGATGGCTCTTTGAATAGGGGATGTGGCTTGTTTTCGTTCCTGCGTAACACACTTACAAACACACACGTCACACGAGTTGTTTGGAGCGTAATTTTTGTGGTTTCACACGTACGTGTTTGGGTCAATATCTAGACCTTTTTTTTTTCCTAATGAAACGGACTATGTTTGGAATAAGCTTATATTCCTCTCAGAGAATAATACTGTCGTGCATGTATAATTTGTGAAATTTTGTATTCTTCTTTTTTTAGTATACGACATTGTTTAGTTTATTTGAACTAACCAACGTCATATATTAAGGAAAAACAGCAAGGGGTAGTGTTTATGTGAAAGCAATTTCTGAAGATATAGCATTCAGATTACTCACGAGTTATCAGTAAATGGATTGCAAGCAAAAAGAGTTTGATTTAGGCTGCTGCTGCTTACCCTTATAAGTTTCCCTTTTTCAGTGTTTACTTAAGTTGATTGGTTCCCTTGTGCTTTGATGCAATGATGCCAACGGAACGGAATACAAGCAAGAGAAAAGGTGTGGTGCAATCAAATGAATTTAGATCATTGTCAGATTAGAGGTACCGCCAAAAATCTTCAAGGTTTTGTGAAGCTCTCTTGTCACAGGTTGTATCAGTCTATCAGAGATCAGAAAGAATTGTGGCAGTAGAGACTGCAGAGCTTTTTCCAAGTTATCCTGGTTATATCAGCATGGATGGAATTCTTTTTGAAAATATATGTTATTTTTATTTTTCGAATTTGCATGGATATATCACTTGTTGTTGCAAGAACTCAACAAGTGTGGATTAATTCTCTCTGTATTGCCTATGCCCTTGCGGGTGAATTATACACATTTATATACAGGGATGCATAAGGGGAAAAGACTTTGGTGTCCCTACCCCTATGGCTTGCTTTGTGCGACTGGCCGATGGGCCAGCCATGTTCCTAATGGTAACCTAATAGAGGACAGCGGGGCTGCCCCCAGCATGGGGCATCGTCATTCTCGAGGGACCTCGCTATTATCCGGGTTATAGCATCTCCCGGGTAATAGCATGTTCCGTCCGACTGGCAGTAACAGTGTCAGAGGTAGTTGGGGCGCGTAGTGTGCATCTATTCACTTCCACTAGCGCCCGGTCATCGGCTTAGCTCGTTGGAGTGCTCTGAGGCGTGTTTTCCTCCGGCTGGCTCTTCGGACTCTCGCTGCCCATCAATGCTCCGAAGTCTCGCGGTGGCCTCCGGAGCTTTCCTCCCGAGCTCCAAGAACTCCTCCGGGCTCCGGAGCTCGGGTAACCTTCTCGGGCTGCTGGTACCTTGGGTCGTACGGTCTCCTGGAGCCCTTCTGGAGCTTATCGGCCTCTGGCCGAAGCTCGCGTGGGCCTTGCCCTTCTTGCCTCCGGCGGAATCCCTTCTCCTAGACCCCCGGAGGCCAGCGGAGCGGTTGGCCACCTGCAGAGCAAAGCGTCCTTGGTTGTCGGTCATCTTCCGGGAAGGATGTTCTCCGGAGCGATGTAGCCCTTCGTAGGCTCACCTTCTGCGATCTGAAGATACTCCCCCAACAGTAGCCCCTCGAGGGTCTTTGTCTACCCCGTGGACAGAGGGTCTCGCACTTACTAAGGAATGATGACCGTCGTGTCCCCATGCTTCCGGTGACCGTTCGACTCGAACGGTTGAATGCCTCATTGACTGCCGCGCCCCTGCCGATGTGACACATACTGGGGCCCGCCACTACCCTTATCAGGGGAGGCGGCGGATACGTGCCGCGCCGAGATCCGACGGGGCACAATCGTGCGGTTGAGGATGGAGTGGCGATGTGGCGCACATTTCGCCATCACGCGTGGGTGGGAGATGGTCGGTGTGGATGCATCTCGCCCCTTGATGAACGGCCCTGATGCAGCGAGCAGGCCTATAAGAGCTCGACCCGAGGTCAGCCGTCACACACTTGCCGCATCCACTCCAACTGTTCGTCTTCAACCCATCGTCTTCTCTGCTCTAGCACCAGATGGTGCACGGCGACAGCCGCCATTCTCACCGCCGCGGTGGTGCAAGCGGCGGCGACCCCTGGATAGCCAGCGACGTTGTGGTGCCGCCAGGCACTGTGTCTTCTGGCGGCGACTTCGACCATGCGGCGGGCGAGACGGGCCACCGCGGGCGACCGGCGCTTGCTGACGATGCGGGGGCGTCCGCCTCTAGGGCTGCTGCCGGTGCCAGTGACGGCAGCGGCCTTGCCGGGGACAACGCCGACGAGGTCATGGAGGGCGCCGCCGTCACTGCCACCGGTGACGACGATGAGGCCGATGGTGGCTCCGGGGCGCTGTTCTTCGGGGCCAGCCGCAAGTACCCGGAGCAATCGTGCTTCATCGACGCCTCGACGGTGACGGCGAAGGACATCAACGAGTTGGTTGCCACCGGAAAGATTCCGGCGGCCGATCGGGCAAGGCGACCTCCGGCTGACGAGGCGACCCGCACCCAGAGCCCAACGAGTCCATTATTTACGGTGCTTTCTTCACCGCCGGCCTTGGTCTTCCGGTCATCCCGCTCGTCGCGGGGGTGTTGGAGTACTACGGCCTCGAGCTTCCCCAACTCACGGCCAATGCCGTCGTCCGCTTGGCCATCTATGAGTACGCCATGCGGGTTGACGGGCTCCGGGCCAGCGCGAAGCACTTCGCGAGCCTTCACTTCACCAGCTGCCAACCGAAGCTGGTTGCGGAGGGCGGGGAGACAAAGTCTCTCACCTTCGCCTCCGTGAACTTCCAGGTGCGCCCGGGCCTGGTAGAGTATTTTCCCTCCCGGGCCGCGAATGACCACTGGGTGACCGGGTGGTCGAATTGTTGGTTCTACCTTGACGTCGGTGCAGACTCCGGGCTAGCTTCCACCAACAAGGATATCTAATTCCTCCACCTTCCGGAAGTCGATGTTGATGACTCAGACCTTGACAACCAACACCAATCGCTTCGGAGGGTGGCGGCGCGGCTTAGCATGCGCGGCATAATGGAGGAGTTTCTGATGCTCCGCGTCATCCTGCTCCGGGAAGGCTGGGTTCATTCCCTTACCTCTGGCGACGACAACACTGCCGGGGCTTACGAAGGCCCGATTTCTTCCACAAGTAAGTTATTCCCCGGAGCGCAGGTCCGTTTGAGCAAATAAATCTCTCCTCACTTCTCCGCCCCTGCAGCCATGCTGACGCCGGTCTCCACGGCCATCTCGGACGCCGAGAAGCTCCTTGGCAAGCCCGTTCTGAAGGAGAAACAAGAGCAGATGGAGCAGATCGGAGCTTGGGAGAGGGCCATTCGAGTGGCGGCCCGGTTCAACCTTCGGCTTCTGGCTCTACCCTCCCTGCATGAGGCCGAGGAAGTGGAGGTTGCCAAAGCCAGAGGTAAGCGACGGGCTGCGCGAGGTTGTGGCGGCGGAGGCCGGCGCATGAAGCGGTCTAGGGGGAATGAACCTCCGATCCCTGTCGTCCCGCTCCGGGCGATGGCGCCCGAACAGCTACACTCCACAGCCAATGTGGGCACCGGCGCGGCAGCCGATGGGATCTCCTCAACCTCCGCTGGCCAGGACCGTGGTTCGGTCGTGTTCGTCACGACTTAAGAGGGCTCCGGGGAATCTGCCTGGACTATCGCGCTCCCAGGTTCGTGAGCAAATAAATCTCTCTCTCTCTCTCTCTCTCTTTCTTTTTATTAAGGAATCCTTATCTTGGTGCAGGGGGGCTCGCTCGCGGGCCCGGAAGCGGAAGAGACTTCGACGCACACCACGGTTATTGCGCCATCCGCTTCTGGGGCCGAGCCGGAGCTGCACCTCGGGGCCGCGGCTGCTCCAGAGAAACCGGAGGCTGCCATTCACCCCGCCGCTGCTCCGGAGACCTCGAGCGGTCGAGCGGGTCTAGTGGCCGACCCTTCCTCTACGCGAGACACACACGCCGGAGCAGACGCGGTGAGCCTGCCTGGGGCTCCGCCGCCACTATAGAGGGCTTCCACTCCAGGCAACTTCCTAGGCCTCGGGATCGAGGGTGCTCCCTTGGATTGGATGCCCCTGGTGGGGGACAGGGCAAGTGTGCTGGCCGGCGCACTGAACTCAGCAGAGCTGTCTGACTTGCTCCGCGTTCTTGGCTGGCAGGTGAGCTAAGTTGACTAGTGCACTTTTTCTTTTTTCTTTTAATCCTGCCATCTTGGCAGGTCATGGTGGCCGGAGCTGCGGCCGTTGAGCACGGGGGCCGGGACACTACGGATCTTCACACGGAGTGGCTCCGGGTCTGGGACCTACAAGAGCAGGCTGCTGCTACTCTCGCCGAGGCGGAGGCAGCCAGGGACTCGTCTCGGTTGGCAGTGGCCCGCGCCGATTCTGCGCGGCGACAGGCGGAGCTCGACCTCACGCTGGTTCATGCAGAGCTGGCCCGGGAGCGCGACCGCGCGGCGAGATTGTCCGACGAGCTAGCCGCCACGAAGGCGGCCCTGGCCTCTCGCGAGGAGGAGGTCCAGGCTTCCCAGGGTCGCTTTGAGCAGGCTCGGCTCATCCTGGAGGAGCTTAACGTTCGTGCCATTTATGCCGCCCAGGCCCTCGTGCGTGCCTTCGGCAGCATTGGGGTTCAAGGTCCGTCCCCGCCTCCGGAGGACAGCTCCGTCGCAGAGAAGCTCCAGTGGGTTGAGAAGGCGGGCAAGTTTGTGGCGAAGGCGTCAGCCGGCCACGGAATATGGTGCTCTTGGGCCACCACC